CTTGAAAGGAGTGGCTTGGCCCAGCGGCCTTCAAAGTCTTTCCTTTGCCATCATGAGCATGTTCAACCAGAGCTTGAAAGGAGTGGCTTGGCCCAGCGGTCTTCAAAGACTTTCCTTTGGCAGGGGGTTCAACCAGAGCTTGAAAGGAGTGGCTTGGCCCAGCGGCCTTCAAAGTCTTTCCTTTGAAAATAGCGAACAGTTCAACCAGAGTCTTGAAGGAGTGGCTTGGCCCAGCGGTCTTCAAAGTCTTTCCTTTGGCAGCGAGTTCAACCAGAGCTTGAAAGGAGTGACTTGGCCCAGCGGCCTTCAAACTCTTTCCTTTGGCCGGGAGTTCAACCAGAGTTTGGAAGGAGTGGCTTGGCCCAGCGGTCTTCAAAGTCTTTCCTTTGGATGTAGTGATTTCAACCAGAGCTTGGAGCGAGTGGCTTGGCCCAGTGGTCTTCAAAGTCTTTCCTTTGGCAAGGGGTTCAACCAGAGCTTGGAAGGAGTGACTTGGCCCAGCGGCCTTCAGAGCATTTCGTTCTTTTCTGGGTTCGCGGCCCTGAAGAGAGTGAATTGGCCAAGCAGCCTTCAACTTCAGTGCTTGAAGGTTAAACGCCTGAGATCGGAGGTCAAGGACATGGATCTTCCCAGGGGTTTGGAAAGGTTTGAGTGCACACTCGAAACAGAGACTCGTGATGGTCTCTGTTCCTTGCAAGAATGGATGATCCAAATGGAATAGAAGAACCCACGGCTATACCAGGGCCCAGGGCCCAGGCGGAAAAAGAGCAGCTCAACGGCGCGAGGTTCGGTTCGGATCACCAACCGGTCCGGCCTGGAGCCCAGAGCAGAGGTGACGACTGGTTCGGATCACCGTCGGTATGCAGTAAATCATTTGGCATCTTGAAGCGTCTGGTCGGATGGGGAACCCTCCCACTGCCTCCAAGAGAGGTGGAAGAGCCCTATATATAGCCTAGAGCCCATCCCATATGTACCACTACAGGGTCCTATATGGTCTCTCAACTTGTCTTGGCTTGTTTGGAAAGTCTGGTCTTTTATTTTTTGGCGGGGGGGAAGATCGCAGGACGAGCGGATCGCCTGCAAGTCACTGCAACCCACCAAAACCCAATCGGTGGAAAGTACAGGTTGTATAACCTGTCCACGGAAACTGAGGAGTCAGCTCATCCAAAATGGTGTCCACATGTGCCCAACGACCTGAGGATGTCTCCCAAAACCGAGGTGAGCAGGAGCAAAGTTCCTTGAATTCCTTCGCCAAGCGCCACGACCTGGAGCAGCGCTTCCTCTTCGCCACTGAGTGTGGCGATCCCGAGCTGCTGCAGCAGATCCATCGAGAAGCCGAGACTTGGAGAAGTCGAAACTGGTCGGACTTGTTCGGACAGATCCACCGAGGTTGGGTCTTGGTTTAGAGAGGCTGTGGAGGGTCTTGGTTTAGAGTCAAACGTGGTTCATGAGGATTTGGATCGAGTCAATCATGTGACTGTGAAGGCCGGAGACATGCGAATTTGGAATGATTCCTTTTGTGTTTGTTTAAAATTTGAAGAGTAAGTGCAACGAATTTGGGTGAACCAGCAGTCCCAACGGGGTGCTTATTTATGGAGGTTAGGGGTTCCCGTGATCCACTCACTTTGGGGACTAAGCACCACCCCTTTGTGACTCCTGGAAATGAAACGTTGTTTGCACACCAGCAACTTCCAAGGGGTCTTCAAAGGACTACCCTAAATTCCTACACTACCGGTGGATCTCCATGGCAGAAGAGATTGGCCTGTCTCGCCAAAAAATTGGGGGCAAATCAAGACAAACCCGCAAGTTTATGCATGTCGATTAATTTATGTGATTTTATGTGTAATTTTCTTGATGGTTCCATGACCTTCAGAAGGTGGCTGGTCGGAATGTTGCTTCTACATGGAAACCAACCACTCTTTTCGGCTGTCCCTTCCGCCGCCCCGTCGGGAGTGGTCGGGAGAGTCCGCTGATCCGATGCTTCAGGAGATGATGGGCGTGGATCTCTCGCAGTTCCGCGGGCCCAGTGGGCCCGAGTTCCGGCCCAGTGGGCCAAGCGCCTCGGGACGAATGAACGAGAAACCGACCAGTTGGGCGGGGTCTTGACGAGCCGAGCCGGCGATGGAGCTGAACTGGAGCTTCCTGGAGTAAACATGGACCGGGTTTTGTGGATCGGGTAGTTTTTTTGATTCCCTACCCAGACCGCGACCCTGGGCCCGAATCCATGAGGGGTCGGACCCGAATCCTCTGGAAGGGTGGGGTCGAACCAATCCCTACGTTTTGAGGGACCCAGGGCTGTGAACGGAGCGTCTGGGTATGGTTCAATCCCCTTCTGCGAATATTGGTTCTTTTTCCAGGCTCCTGCAGAGCAAATCCAAGAGATCCACCTGTAGGGTAGTCTGATGCAGTCCGATCCCGAAAGGAAGTCGGCTTAGTTGGCTCAGTTGGACGATGCAAATGATCCAGAAGGGAGTGTCACCTGACTTGTCTCATTCTCATCCTATTATATATAGCCGGTATAGATAATTTTGTTTAATGTTCCAACTTGAACCAACAACTCACTGCCAGCCCCAAGACGTCTCTTTTCTCTCAAGATGACGACCGGATCTTCCTGGCTCCGGTCCACCCGGTCCGCCCAGGCCGCCCACCCCCTCCCGACACACCGCCGCGGGCGGATGCCCCGGAGCATCCGCACGCGGCGGGGGCGGAAGCGGAGGAGGAACACGAGGAGGATGGCAGGTCGACGCGTGAGCTGCTGGCCACTGGGCGCGTAGAGTGAACGTGGGGTTCGCTCAACTGGGGGCGACCGTGGTGATGATTTTGGTAGGGCGGAACGACCAAAACCGAAGCAAGAAGTAGAGAGGTGGGTTCGATGAGTCAGGCAGTTTGCCCTCATAGACTCATAGACTCCACCATGACCCGTCCGACGTCCTCCGTGGCTAAGACCGATCAGGAAGAGTGCCGTCGACGCGGCTTGGACACCTCGGGATGCCAAGACCGTGAGGCGCGACCGGGGGGGCGAGGCGCGGAGGCGACCGGTGCCATGAGGGAATGGAACCTGGAAGAGGAAGGCCGAGAAGGAGTAGAAGGGCTGGGAGTGGCTGGGTGGTGGTCAGTTGTTTGTGATATATTTCGATATATGTCAGTATGTCAGTGTATATCAGTGCCATGGTATTGTTTGGAGAATCATGTGACATCTTTTGGGGTGGTGAGCTGTTTAAAGGGTCAATGTAGGTAAACATTCCAGTCCCATCCCAGACCAAACAAATGGGACTGGAACATCCAGTTGAGACGGTCATGGGTCATGGGGGAGCCATGTCATGGAATTCCAACAAAACCATGGGAAGATAATATCATCCAGTCCAAACCATCCATGGAGCCTATATTTAGGGTTTGTCCTATTATTTGTAACAGTCAGTAAACAATTATCACTACACTGTTGAACAAGGCCTCTACTAACCATCATCATGCACTGTTACAGGTAATAGGATCGACCCCACCTATATGATCATCTATTCCAACAGATGGTTTGCTATGGATGTCCTGGTCCCATGGATGGTGAGGATCTGAGGATCTTCCGTCAGAGGCGCAGGATCTTCCCACTCGTGTGCCGCCACACCCACTTGGTCGGGTTTGTCGAGACAAGGAACCTCCTGCGACGGACGGTGCACGGGTTTCACACCGTGATCTTGACACATACACTGTGATCAGAGGTAGTTTCGTTTGTCTGCTTAATGGACTCAAGCTATAGAGACACTAGAGTATAGACACTATATTGTTAAACCCCGAACTTGGGAGCGACCTATACATCCTGGAGCAACATCCACTACCAACTCCAACACCATGGTCGAAGCGACCGCCCAAACGGTCGAAGCAATCAGACTTGACCTGAAAAATCGACAAAGGCGCTGGCCCAAAGACAAAGTGTTTATAGAGAAGGTCTAGAAATACCAAGAATCCAGACATGATCAATGACCCAGGCCTTTTTTTGACAGGAAGTTTGAAGTCAGTTCGCCCAAGTATTTGGTTTTTTTTCACGGTGGTCCGAAATAGAGGTCACGACCAGGCTCCAGGTAGGGAATCTCAGTCTTTGCCTTTGCAAGGATCTCCTGCGCCTGCTGCGCCGACCCCCAGCCGACGCCGCTCCCCCGCCGCGTGCGGCGGGTGCCGCGCCCTCGGCGGCGTTTCGGCCGGCAGCGCCGGTGGCAGCGCGGCCGGCGCCGCCCAGCGGTGGTGGCACCGTGTGGGATAGGCGATTTGGATGTGTTTTGATGAGTTTGGGATCCTTTTGGAGGCTGGGGAGTGAATCCTGAAGTTGACAAACATAGAATCAGGCTCAGTACAGTATATATGATGCCTTCCAGTATTTGAAGAAGCCTCATGAAGCCTGTGAGTACTGAAGAGTTATTGAAGTGGTTGTGTGAAGGCGAGTGCGAGGGAAAGGTTCCCTTGCCCTGGTTTGCATCAAACTTAAAGCCTCTACATGTTCTGCCACCCCTTGATGGGCTCATACAAGGCTTCGTGGATATCCTTCCACAAAACCAACATGGACCCATAGATGACCTATTTCTATTGCTTGGTTGATGAATTTCTGGGGAAAAACACGCCCAGTGAACCACCAGTTTCTATATAGCTACCTGGCGCTCCCCGGCCCCATCCACCCGACCGACCATGGCGTCCACACGACCTGTTTGGTCCACATGACCGGCACTAGCACGACACGCCAGGCTTAGAATAGCATTGGAGATGCGAGTCATCCCTGAAATTCCCCACTCTATATAGACCCCCAAAATATACTGTAAGACCCCCAAATATGCTAGAGTCTATTTTTCATATATAAACCCTCAAATAGATAGAACATTACTGTAAGTAGATCCCTGCCCTACTAAACATGTGTCCAAAACACTGTGCCACTATCCATCCTATTTTGAGACCCCTTGCAATCATGATCACCTTTTTGGGTTAACAATTTCCGGTCCGTGTTGGAGTCCTGTCCTAAACGATTCGCTGATCGAGTTCCTGTTGGCGAAAGCCCAACAACGAGAGGCAAGTGGTGCCGCCGCGCTATATGATCCACAAGAGGTATGCCTCCTTGCAGCTTGGTGTTTGAGGTTGTTGACCAGGGTGAGGAGGTTCCAAAGGGCTCATTTTGGTGGAAGATGTGGAAGGGGTTGACACATGTTGAAAGAACCCAGCTGTTTGACTGAGGGTTTTAGAGTACCAAACCAGTTCAACCTGTCTCTCTGGTCTTGGAGAGACGTCCTTCAGGGTGGGAAGGAAGTGGGCCGGGTGAGGCAAGGGTTGAACATAGGAAGGCCCGCGCGGGACATCTTGCCAACTGTAGCATTTGAAGGGGCCGGAATCATTGAAAGGACACGGGCTTCGTGTTGTGGTACTCAGTTGTTACGCCAAGAAGAACAGTAAACCAGTAAACCAACCGCACCCGTGAAACCACCCATACTTCCCAGACCAATACTCCGGTGCTCACGTGAAGAGCTGAGCCGTGCCAACCCAGACAGCCCATGGGATTGGACGGTGAATCACCCCATTGGGGCTGTGGTGAATGGACACCCCGAATCAACTCTGTTTGGAGCTACACGGCCCCCACAGGGGGCCCTGGTATATCTGCATACATGGATGATTTGGGGCAAGGTCTTTTAGGGGATCAGAGGACTACTAGAGGTCTCTCTAGTGACGAGCTCCTCACCCCGTCCTCGCCCCAAGTCCGGTGGTCGAACCATGTCGAACCATCGTCTCACCGTATCTATGACCCAAACCTCCATCTATCGATGCTTACCGAGGACTACAAAAATCCCAGTTCCCAGTAAACTCCGAGACCTTCGAACTCTACACAGTGACAATGCAGCTGCTGGGCCAAGACAAGCTAAACCCTCACCCTAAACCCACTCACCACCCTCACTTTCACCCTCACCCGGTTCTCCTCCGCTTGGCTCGCACCAACCAGGTACTTGCTGGGCCTGGACTGCAGCCGCTTACCCTCCGGCGCCGAGCTCCGCTCCGCCTATCGCCGCGCGGCCATGGAGTCGCACCCCGACCGACCCTCGGCCGCGGCGGCGTAAGGGCGGCGGACTGGGCGGCGCGGAGCGGCGGCAGTTTGGGGAGGATCAAATCAGATCCTTGGAATGGCTATCCCTAGGGTATCAGTTCTTGGAGCTACTTGGAGCTATCTTCATATTGACCTTCTTGGAGCTACGACTAGGTGAACGGCCATTTGTTTTCTTGCCCAGACTTTGAGTGGAGATCAGTGTATTTCTACGCTGATCAACCTGACTTGGGGCGCTTGTTTACGAAAGCCAGCCTTCGTAGAAGGCGCTAGCGGAGTTGTGTTTGGCGAACGAAGTGAGTAGTTAGGGGGTCTGGGGGGGTGGCCCGAGAAAGGTACACGTCAACTCGGCACATGCTGGGGGAGGAGGGTGCTCCGAGGGAAGGTTTTTTGAGGTTGTGTTGGAGGTGATTTTTGAGGGGTGGTGATGCAAGAAATGCCAAATGCATCATTTGCATCATCTGAATGGAAAGGTGTAGTTGGCACCTTGCAAGGTATAGAGACCTAGGGTAGCCATAGTGCAGCTACCAGGTATAGTACTTCAAGTTCCCTTTCCGTCAACCGCTTGAGAACCTCTACACACGCACAGCAATCCACAGCTTTGAAGTCTCATTCGTGCTTTGAACTTGTATAGGTGTGTAAGAGGTATGCAACAACACAGTATTTATACGGACCCAGGGTAGCTACAAGTAGCTACAGTTCTGTTCCCGGGTATGGCGCGCATGAGGCTTCAAAGCTGTGGTTTTCAAGCTAAATTCAAGGTGGCCTGAGACCAGGGTTTGCTTCCCTAAAACACTGTTCAGGCCACCTTGAAAATAAAGGTGTAGTTGGCACCTTGCCAG